CTCGATCGACGACTTTATAACAATCACCCATGCCACCGCAAAACTCGTGTGTATAACTTATTTTGACCCTGTTCAATAATTTCTTTACTGAATTTCGAGGGCTCTAAAGGGAAGCAACTTTTTAAAGAAAAGCAATTTTACACGTACTCTCGATCCCCAACTTGATTTCTAAACCAAGACCGAACATCTATATCGAACCCGTCGGTGACGATGTACTAAAAAATGATAAAAAAAAAACTTACCCAAAGTCTTGAATTGTCACTTCCAAAAATGTAATAAAAATTAAAAATATAACATTTAAAACTAGAAAATGAAAATTTTAATATCAATTTTTTTCTTTATCCAACTTTGCATCTCAAGAAATGGCCTTAGTATTTCGGAAGCTTAAAGACTGCTGATTTTTGTAAAAACCGGGTTGAAGTACGATTTATACACCCACCGCCACATACGCAATAAAAGCCGCTGACAAAAAGTAGAAGCGTGCCCGAAAGTTGCCATCCCGGAATCCGTTATTCCGAAAGTCGAGCCGCCTATGGATTTTGCCGGTGACAAAGGGATGAGTGGGGCTTATGACTCTCGTCGATATGCCCATATTCTATCGAATTCCATCAAATAGGGCCCCGGCTTGGTTGAGGCTTCATTCTATTTGTTCAGCCATTTCCCCCAGTGGGGCCAACACCAAAAGTCTCTTCGGGCTGGGCTTGAAACAACGAGTGACGGCGGATCTGAATCATCGTATTTGATGGGGTTGTATTTCTGGAAAATGACGAGAAAAAGGCAAAAAAAATATCTTAAAATGGCGCTTCAAAAAAGATAGGCGATCAAGTTATGCTAATGCTGCTACTGATAAAAAGTTCATGTTATGTTAATTGCGCGATAATTCTCTAAACAAAAACCGCCAAGTAAAGTTTTCAGAAAAAAACTACAAGCAGAGGGGTCAAAATCGATTTTTCAGACAGCGTGAATTATATGTTGTAATGCCCCGTACCACGTATCGATTTTGGTAAGTACCTGATGCAATCTTAAAAATTAAACTACAAAGCTGATAAAATTGTTGAGGATTCCAATAATGGGGCCCTACCTAAATGGCGTAAAACAGGTTTGCTGGCCCCTTTAAAAGGCCTATAGATACTAAATTCGAAATTCGGTAAACTATAAGGACGTAATTCGGTTGCTACTAAGTTGCTATTTTTAATCCGCATTTTGTTATTGACAGATATGACTGTCTATTTTGTATCGTTAAAATACCGAATCATAGAAACCTCATAGAAAAAGGGTTGAGCTAAAAATTCACTTTAGCAGACACCAAACGTCGCAAGAAAATGGGATAGTTCGGCGAAAATAGCCTGAATTAGTTTTCGCTTGCGTCGAGCATAATTGGCCAATTTGGTATACGACATGGCGGATCCAAATCAATCTGTGACTCAAGATTGCATGTTTTCATTTTTTCGGACCGCTGCAGTCAACTTATGAGGATCAATAGGACGAATTTCCTTTGTAAAGCCTCTTTGGTATTAGGGAAGCTCATTAAATCTTAAAATTTGTCACGTTTTTAACTTTCAAAGAACATTTTGATAAGCTCGAATGTGGCCAATGCTAAGCCAAAGCAAAACCTTGAAATCCAGAACCTACAACCCGGAATCTCAACAAAATATATGGAACACGTAAAGCCCGCCGTCTCCGCGCGTGTATGGCAGCGGAAATGCCATTTGGGCCTTCCTTGAGGCCCAAAGGTGGAAAGGGACGGAAAACGCGGCCTTGGAAGTGGAAAGCCCGGCCGTGTGTTGCATCGATAATTCCACTTGGGTCACCCCAGGCTGCTTCTTCTTCTGGGGGCTCGCGTCTAATAAGACGTGGTGGGGCGTTTGGGCTCCAAGGGTGATGTGGGTTGAAAATTGGTGAAAAATGCTGAATATGTTTGAAAAATCGAAAGAGAGAGAGAGATAGAATGAGAGAGTTATATAGAGAGAGATAGTGCGAGAGAGATAGAGAACAGAGATTTTCTGGTCTCCCATTAAATTCGTGAAATACATAGCCTGAAACAAGACTGAAAATATTGTACCCTCTAGAGGCGTCTTTTCTTGTATTTTTTGTCAACCTGCCAGTCGTTGGGGCGTCGTCTACTGTCTGGTCTGTGCATTTTTTGGTATACGTCCCGCAGTTCTCTCTCTCTCTCTCTCTCTCTCTCTCTCTCTTTCTCTCTCTCTCTCTCTCTCTTTCTCTCTCTCGCTCTCTTTCCTCTTCTCCTCCTCTGTCTTCTCTCTTTCTCTCCCTATCTCTCTCCTTCCCAAACCCGTCATAAGCGAATTAAGGAGAGTTGGACATGTGTTTGTCTGTCTCTCCCCCTCAGCCCCTTTCCGTTGCTTTTTGCTTCTTTAGGACCCAAGTGAGCACAGTTGTTCCTCCTCCTCCTCCTCTCCCCCCTGGTGGGGCTCCTCGGTTGAAGGTGAGAGTCCCAACACACAAGCCGGCCAAGAAAGAAATACACCAGCTTGGCCTGTGCGGCGACGGGTCGGATCGATGTAACCCGGTGCTAATCGCTCAACCTGCTTAGCGTTCCGTTCTATAATTTAGCAATTTAGCTTCGGAATCGGAATGCTGCATAGGAATCCTTTCTATTGGCATTTACTCGGGCTTTGCCACTCTTTATGGCTTGATGCCTTCAATGCCGGAACCATTATTTAACGATTCCGCTAAAAACGCCAGCTACTAATCCGCCCTTTTGCGTGTTCATAGGGGGCTAGTTTTTGCCAAATAACCGACAATTAAATTCGTGTCATTCCAAAATGCCGACTGCCGAAATTCTTAACCAGACATAATACCGACGGCGAGCATCCAGACTGACATCCTGTAGTTGTCCGACATTTTGAAGCTATTTTCAATTCAATTCTGTCTTTTTTTTGAGTCTATAACCTTTTTTTTCATGTCGGGATCCGGGCGTTCGAAGTACCGCTGTCGGGATTTCGGGTTTCCGGGATAAGGATTATCGGGATTTTTGAGGGTCGGCTTTTGGGCTGTCGGGGTTTTGGACTGACGAAATTCCGGGTTTATTACTCTCGAATTCTCGCTGTCGGGATTTTTAAGCTTTAGGATTTTATGTCGGGATTTTAAATGTCGACATTTGGCTTTTTTCCATAAAAGGCTACTTTCTTTATTTTTCGGTTCCTATAAACGATACCGGATCAGTTTTTAGCTTGTTTTGTGTTGTTTTTATAATTAAAAAAACGGCTCCACCGTTTTTTTTTCGAAAATTGCTCAAGCGTTCCGTGGGCATAAATTATCTGAAATTAATTCTCAAAGCGCAACTGACCTACAGGTAACCCGCCGCCAAGCTGGCGCCATGCCGCACGTGGAGCCGAAATTCGAGTTGGCGTTCAGGAGAACACTGTTCTTTTTTGTACTCATCCTCGTCTACCTAATTCTTGGAGCTTCAGCACTTGCGCTATTGAGGCCGCCACGACATGATAAGGTATATTTTGCTATTATAAAAGCAATTAATTTAATTTTTAGGGTTCCCTCGACAAAATCGAGCGAATTGACGTGAAGCGTGCAGAGCTGTTGAACGTACTTTGGGCAGAGACGCTGGCGAAATCAGAAAATGATTGGGAAGAGATGGCGAATCAAAAGATGGAAGCTTATGAAAAGGTCAGTAGTCGTAGTATACTTTCAGCTGTTTTTAAGTGCAGGCAGGTGTTTTTTTGGCTTTTTCAAAGAACTGTTTTTACGACTGCAATCTTGCTTAAACGCGGTGTTTTTTTGGACAAAGGAGGCCTGTTTTATTGTCTTAATTAATGCTAAAAAACAAAAAAAAAACGAGAAAGAGAATGCTTGTGCACCGTATCTCTGTCGCTCTCTCTCTCTCTCACTCTCTCTCTATGTCTTTCTCTCCGTTTCTTTTTAATGACCAAACTTTGTGGATTTTTGGAAATGCGTTAGAGAGAGAGCGAGAAAGAGGGAGAGAGAGAGATAGAGTGAGAGTGAGAGGGAGAGGGAGAGAGCGAGCGAGAGAGTGACAGAGAGAAAGATCTTTATTTAAACTTGTATTTTTTCCAGACGCTTCTCACCAGCGCCTCATCCTTCGTCGAACAACGCGACTTCACCTTCTGGGGCCACTTTGAGCGAGCGTTCTCGATGATTACAACTATTGGTGATTTTTATATCTTTTAGCTCTTATTAATACATCAAAATTCAGGCCCAATCGACTGTCGCGAGCTGTCCACGCTCGGCAAAATGTTCTGCTTTGTGTATTCGCTACTTGGAGTACCACTCGCGTTACTATATCTCTCGCACTGTAACAAAATGGCTGCTTGTTTGTGTTCATCGGTAAGGGTTTGGGATTCAGATATGTGTTCTATCTTCTTAAATTGGGTATAATTTTATCGATTAAATTTTATGCATATAAGCGCTCGATTAAACAAGCCCTCTTTTAAGCATAACAAAAACAAGACTATTAGGAAACTTCGATATACTTTTGCATATGCATAATTAAACGGGATATCATGGTGTTAAAAAACGCCAAATTTTAAAATCCTATCTGTCTGGATTTAACCTATCTAAAAGTTGATTTTTCGACACCTTCAAACCTCGGATTCCTCAACTTTCAGACAAAAATCTTCCTCTCGACCTTCAGCTTAATTTTTGTGGGTGCGGTGGTGTACGACATTGTCGAGCAGGGCAGCGATGATACGGTAAGGAATCCTTTTTTCATCAAGTTTTAAATTGTGCGCCTTTAGCCCTTCATCGACGCCTACTTCAGCGTGTTCCTCCAATTCTCCACGATAGGGGAGGAGGACCCGAGAGTGCGGTATGTTCCTTGTTTCTTGCTACGGTATTAGGTGCTTCGGATTTGTGGATTAAATTATTTTTTCAGAGGCATCTTCACCTATATTTTATGCCTGGCGGGGCTGTCATTGATGTCAGTGACGTTTATCGTCATTCAACAAGAGGTAAGGCTGTTTTTGACAAGCTGGAAAGTGAAAAATTCGACCCTCTTTCTTGACTAGACTTTTTGCAAAAACTCCGTTAAACTGTTTTAACAGTTTAAGAGATTTAAAAATCGCCTTGTAATCCCAAAAACACTGATTTTTTAGATTGAAAAACGAACAGCATGGTTCGAGCTGCAGTTCTCATTCTTATTCGGAAGGGCCGAGCGGTGGGCAACCGAAAACAAGCCACGGAGTATGGATCGGGTAGAGGAGGAAGAGGTATGTTGTGGAGTACGAACTTTTCCCTAATGATTTTGCTTGATTGCCTTGTTCAAAGAACTCCAAGATCGAGAATTGAGTTTATTTTTAATAATTCGAATCTTGCGTTTGAATTTATTGGTCCGATCTCGAAGGATCGCTGCTAGCATCCGCCAATTTTTGGATTTTTGGCGGTTAAAATTATGTTTCAATTTTAGGAAGAAGAAGAGGACGATGACTACTAACTACTACTACTACAAAATCTATCGTATAATCAACAAACTACAAACTACAAAATTCCTAGGATTTTCTGGAGGAATCTCATTTTTTTTTGGCTGCCAGCTATACCAAACTCGTGTATTTCCCTATATCACTGCCCTGTAATAAAGATATATTACGTATTATACCA